GAGAGAGAGAGAGTACCAGTAGCTCATGGATGTATCAGTGTATGAGCAAGGCATGCAACATACTGAAGGTTTCAGTCAAAGTATGGTTGTGGAGATGCATGATGTGTTCAACCATGGAATATGTCATGAATTCACTCTACTCCATTGATGCATCTCAAGATCAGCTGAGCAGCTGCATGGCTGCAGTAAAACTATTTCTGACTCTGCACATGTCAAACAGTAGATTTGAGGAAGAAGTAGATCAACATTGAAACTATGAAAGGACAATATGAGAGAAGGATGCCTGCAGTCTCTGCAGCTTATAAACCCAGTAAGTTTTTACTGCTTGATTGATAGACATTCTCTTTCATCTTACAATCACACCATTTTCTTATAAATTCTGATAACTCTTTTGTCTCACTGTAAAACACTTATGAGAGTAGCAAAATATTACAAATATGAAAGCTAAGCCATTTAATCAAAATCTTTATATTCAGAGAACATGTTAATCTAGTAAATCTTGATGGAAGAATTCTTCAGACTCAAAAACAGAAAAGGCAAAGAAAAATGTAAAGCAAATCTATGATGCACTAGATCTTTGGCATGTATATTAAATCATGAGGTACATGACAATTTACAGAGATATCTTTGAAGTTCTTACTGTAAGCAAAACAAGTTTCTCTTTCAAGTCATAAAGAGGTAGAAGATGATGGCAATGAATGCCATATTACTAGAACATAAGAAGATGATTAGTTGCGTTTCGGAGGTGCATCCGTGACGATCTATCATCTTCTGTAAGCTTCACCTTTAGCCAGCCAATATTATCTTCCAAATTGTTGTCTTCGTGGTCCTGTTTATGATTAAGACTAGTAGAATTAGCTAACCACTATCGAAAAAAAAAGGGAATATAGAAAATATTTCTCATACCTTTTCGACTGATGGCACAAGTAGATTCAATATATCTCCTTAACAAAAATCAAATTTAACATGAAAAGTCATGAATAAGCAAGAGCGCAGTCGACTTACTTTGAGAAGCACAATTGAAGGAATTAAGCAGAATAGGAACATATAGTGCAGCTGCAAAACCTCGCAAAAATGTCTTGTTTATGGTTAATGTTTCCAAACAGTAGAGGGTCATAAAATCTTTTCTAGGTGAAAGTTGATAGATGAAGAAGTACTAATAAACATGTTGTCCAGATCCTTCACCAATTGATTTGATCTTACATAAGTGTCATAATAGCAAATTAGAAATCTTGGGAATACATGGTTATTCAACCTTGGAAGGGTATTCTTCATATTTTGTTCAAACTTGTATTAAAAGCAAATGTTTCAGAAATCTTGCTGAATGAGTAACAAATATTCTACTCTCTCTTGCGAGTAAAGTTCTTATACTTGAACTGGAACTGTTTGAAATGGCTTTATTGTTTGGCATTATAAAGGAAAAAAGGCGATTCCCAAACTAGAAGAAAGGCTACCATTTGCAGGTCCTGTATCTGGCGCTGCAATTGTCAAGAACAATGTAAGCGCTAGAAAATTATCAGCTGTAACATTCATGGAGAATTAATTCTTGAGGGTAAAAAGAATAATTGGTTCTGTAATGTTGCAAATAGCATTTCCTGAAAGGCACATTAGGAGAACGAAAATTTTCGGGTACCTGGGATCGGAAACACATCATTCCCTTGGTGGAGGAGCCAAGCTAGTGCCGGCTGAGCAGGGTTTCATCCATGCTTTGCAGCCAAATTTGCTCCTCGGACATGCAGAATCGTGTTCTCCAAATTATCTTCGGAGAACCTATAGGGTGAAATGACTGAAACACAAGCATCAAATGAGCCAAGAAATATATGTCATCTCTAAACTGGAATGATCTGATTTTAAACATTAAAAAGCAACTTGACCATAGTTGAAAAAAAAAAAGGAAAACCCACATATGTTGACATTCTTGACAAAAGAGATTATTTGATATAAAGACATAAGATCATCCCAGTACACTGTTAGCAGAACTTTCTGCATAATAAGTCTTTCCAGCAAAAAAGCCCATACCAAGAGGACTAAATGCAACTATTCCAATGCCAAGATCCCTGCCAGTCAAAGGCATCATTTGCATTAGATTGGGCACTCTACAATCCATTTGATATACAATGATCATAATGTCATGAGAATCAATTAATTGATCCCTATAATTAATTGTTTTGTTTGGATTATGCCGTTCACTAATCCGTTAATGAGAATGGACTCCGGCACCTTGAGGGTAACAATCAGGATTTGCTGTACCGATACGTATCACCCGGTACGGGCGATTCATACCGGTCCGACAAGATATCGGTATGTGGAGCACTCTCTAATAGACGGTATCGATCACTTGATCCCGTATTAGGCAATACAGGATTTGTATCGGGCGATAACGATCAAAATCTGACCATTATCAACCTGTACCAATCGGTAACTATTGAATTTTGACCATTATCAATTAAGGGCTGAGATTGCCATTTTTCAAACGATCAATCTGACCATTTAAGGCTTAGAAAAGGGTTTCTAAACTCTTTCTTCCCTCCTTTTTCAACTCGTTTCACTCTCTCGATCTCTTTTTCACTCACATCTCTATCTTATTATCATATTTTCACTTTCCTAAACTCAACAAAACTATTATTTATCGATTGGATCAAATTTAGAAAACTAATTTGAAAGGATTAAGAGGAAAAACACTCTAATCAAGAGGTATATATTCTCTTTCTAGATTTTTATTGATTTGTAAGATGATTAAGCCTATTATATGTGATGTATGACTTAATGTCTAATATATTATTTGATATATTTTTTATGATAGAATAGTATTAATTAGGAAGTAATTAAGATATTTAATATTGTGATTAGTATGTTTAATATTAATTTTTAAAATTAAACACTTAATCGGTTAAATATTTATATTTCATGTATATTAAGGATTGGATCATATGTTTGTGATAGTATAATAGGTTTAATTAGATTTCAATTACATTTTCTAATACTATAATTAGTGATTTTAATGATGATTTAATCAAAATTTAATTGATATTGGATCAATTCAATGTCTTTAATAACTGAGTCAAGTGATGAGGTAACTTCATAATCGCATTCAACAACCCACTCAGTCCAAAGACATGGCAGTGATGTAGATAGTAGTGCCTCGATCGATGATAACGATGATGCTGAGGAGTCGATGGTCCCATCTACATAATTTGAAGGTCGTGCATAGATCGATAAGTAATATTTTACACAAGCCACCTAAGATTCAGATCATTGAGCTTAATGAGATACTAGTGAAGTTATGTATGGAAGGGGAAGGGGAAGCTAGTTGATGATTTTGAGCATATGCGACAGAGTTTACATGACGTCAACATAGAGCGAAACTCATCATATTCATAACCATCATATTATGGAGAATTTTATTGCCAACAACAGTACAATAATAGTTGGTCATACTTTTCTAAGCAATAGTACGATAATCAATCTTACGATAGGGAGTAGCAGATCAGTAATGAAGATAAAAGTTCTGGCATTCTTTATGCTCCGCACTAATATATCTCAGATTCATCCTTGCCTCAGGAGCTGTCTTGGACACATATGGTTCACAATGATCAGACTACAACCATCATCATATTGATGCACCAATGGATAATAGTGTATTAGTACACTATGTCGTGGGATCAATTTTAGGATTGAGTCTGACAAACATATCATATTGATATACAAATACATAAGATCAAGGACCCTGATCCACTGCCTGTGTCGTCTTGTCATTCTTTTTGGTGGTAAAACCAAGCATATCAATCGATTGATTACTTAATTCGTTTGAATCTTAAAGTTTAAATTATATAAAAAATAATCTAATAATTTAAATAATTTTTTATAGATAATTCAATATTAATGAGAGGACGATCTAGAATGTACCACAAAGCTACTCCTCAAAGTTCGAAAAGATATGTAATACTATTCTTTTCTAATTTATATTATTTTTGATAAAATTATACTAAATTTATATTTATTTCTAAATTAAAATCCTAATCTAACTTTTTTCTATTTTTAGATATTTTTGAAGATTTTTTTTTATGATTTTGGGTATGCAACCGATACACCTTGACGTACCATTGATACGTCTCGGTATGTACCATATCGAGCAAGACTTAATATATTAGTACGGACCAAAATTATAATCCTTAGTAACAACTACAATGTTCCGTAAAGCTTCTTGTAGTTAGCGTTGTGTTCTTCATGAAATAACTTATACACACATAGGCCTGTTTAGAGGCCCAAATCTGCCTGATTCTACGTTACCGAAAATGAAACTACATAATTGTTGAGCTCCTTTTCTCAAACTAAATCAAACTTAAGTCGTGAAGGGCTAAATAATCCTAAAAGAGAAGAATTACATGCACAAAGAACTCTAGTGCTTGCCATGGCTATGTATCAAAGCTTTTTTTGGTTGAAAGTTTGGGTTGTAAGAGAGATTAAAACACATATGAATGAAGGATAGAATCATACAATTGTGCGAACATGGAATTATCGTTTTCGCGAACGAAAACATCAACACTTACAAACCTCTTGTCATTCTCATCGAATTGAAGAGCAAGAGAAAAGAACGTAGTTTGAAATCACCTGCAAAGTGGTACTATCTCGTCTTTGATGTCGCGGATCCAGAAAGACCACCACCGTATCTGCAGAGCAGTGATGGGATGGGATGCACAGCATGCGCACGCCTGATCGTGTCGAGGCTCGCCTCCGACGGCCCGATGTACTTCACCTTCCCCTCCTCCACTAACTTCTTCAGCTCCCCCATCTTGCATGCCACAGAAACAAGGAGTCGATCAAGATTCAACATACCTGAGACCTACAGAAACGAAAGCATATTATGCAGAGGTCTGTTCTTACGGTGTCCTCAATGCGGACAGTCAAATCCACTCGGTGTTGATAGCAGAGATCTTTGTACTCCACGACCAGGCGATCGAGGCTCGCTTCGCAGCACGCACTTCCCATTGGTCTTGAGAACGCCACCTTCGAGCTTCACAATGCCAAATTTGCTCGCCCCTTGGACCTCCTCTCTGGGCAATTGCTTCAATGCCTCCAAAAAGACCAGACTTTCCACCTCTGAGACCCAAGTTCCTCATCAGAGGGAGAATCAGCGAGAAAGATCGAACCTTTCCGATCAAGATCTCATTTTTGTGCTGCCCGAAGCGGTCGGCGGTGTCGAAGAAGGTGATACCGCGATCGAAGGCTTGCTTGATGAAGGCGATGCCTTCTTCGTCGCTCAGCGGAGCGTTGATGAGTCCAGTGAGCTGGAAGCACCCGAGACCCAATCTCGACACCTAGAAGCGAGCGAAACATGGTCGACAAGACCGGAAAATTCGATAAAGGTGACAGCTTTTTCAAGCAATTCGACACCAAAACAACACAAGAACAAAATCAACAAATCTGTAGAGTTGAAATGGGACCGACCTCTAATCCCTGGGATCCCAGCTTCACCCTGGGCACCTCTGGAGCTTGTGTTTCTGCTTCCATGTCTCTCGATCACAAGTGATCCTCGGATTGCTGCGACTGTGAGTTGAGCCGTAGAAAACAGTGTTGGTAGGTAGAACAAAGTACTCGAACCCTAAAATATCAACAGTTGCGAGGACTGAGATCACAGTTTGTCACCTCAGAAACAGTAATGTCATAATACATGATTTAGAAAGGTCGCTTCCATCCAAATTGGATTTCTTGTCTTGATAAACAGCTCTTGTTATAATATGATCGATCGATTGGTAAGTGGGATTCTAAATCTGGCTCAAACAGACGAGTATCACACCAAACAGACATGGAGTCTCTTCTTCGATCGAAATTATCTACCCGTATTCAAACTTGCATGTGTCTGCAGGATCAAAATCTGACATCATATAGAGACTGAAGTAGGATTTTTTTGCTGCACAAAGTTCTAATTTTGATGACTTCACCATATGAATCCAGATCATGTTCCTTCAAGCGAGTTCTGCCTCAAACTCGGCCATCAACAGCTTCTGTTCACTTCGAGAAGTTCGATAGACCAGCAGTTGTTTGGTGGTTGCTGGTCTCCCTCATGCACATCACAATCTGCACTCTCTCTCTCTCCGTGTCATCATCAGCAATGCTGTTAATTGAGGCTACTGCTTCCTACATCCATGTCTCTATAGTGGGACATTTCTGTTCCAGAGTTCACTCAGAGTCCTTTCTTCTTCCCGGACTTGCCGATGGGAAGCTGCTATCAATTATCATCAGTCACTGCCACAAGAAAAAAAAGCATGCTTTGACAAAGTCTCTCCTTTGTTTTCTCATCCAAAGATATGATGTTTCAGAGGGAAGACAAAGCAGTGATTGAGGGGTGGAAAAGCATGTTTCATCCACTAAAGTAATGACAATGATTCTGTCCTCCAGAAAACTGCTTCCACACAGATAAGTTTCGTTCTCTGAAATCTTATCACCCAGAAGCATCAGCATAAACGCATTTAGAACAATACAGAACATAACACAAGTAGATTAACACAGAAGACAAATAATGGAGAAGAGAAATGACACAAAAGAATGAATTTTGCAGTATGTTTTCACACAAACTTACGAGTCGAAGAAGTGTCGCAAACACATCTAGATTTGTGCTGAATTGGGCTGATAAATTCGAGCAAGCTTCAGGTCAAATGAACCTTAATTTGCAAGTGCCACATGCATCCCATGAACAATTGTTCAATCATTCTTTTAGGCAGTGAAAACATGTAATCTTCTAATGCCTACATATGAAACTTACAGTTTGCAATCAATTTTTCTAGTACCAAGTTCAAAGCCTAGGGATAAGTAGTCAACCACAGGTGTCATCTCCACCTTCCTAAGCGATTCATGTCCCGTAGAACCTAAAATATCTGCAACTCTTGCAGAATTACAATGCAGAGTTCAACTTGAAATCATGACATCCTGTTGCTTGTAGCATAGTAAATAGGCATTAGAGTTGAGCAAGGCATGACTCAATGATGCACAGGTGGTAGCAATCATTCCAGCATCTAGTGTTTTAGGCAAAGTGGAAGTGGTGGAAACCACTGCAACCCTTTGTATAGGGGAGAGAAAGAGAAAGGGAGAACAGAAGGGGCCCAACCTGAGTCTTTTTATTGCATTATAGCATGTTGAGTTCCACCAAAGGAAACAACAATAATTAGGTTGAAAATAAGAAAGAAATGACTCTAAGAGAATCCAATGCACCTGGCTGTGACTTCATCACCAAGCCAGCTTGACAAACATATATATAAGTCTTGATTATGCATTCTCTCGGGATCGTTTTCTCTGCCGAAGCCGAAAGTTGATCCAGAATTAGCTGCCGTCTGATTGCATGCTAACGAGTTTCAGACTGGCAAAGAAAATCTAACCAAGCTGGGTCCAGTGAGCAGACTATTCCAATTATTTCTCCTTGCAATGCCAACATCTGATGTGATAGAAGCTTTTTCTTTTTGAAAAGAAAAAGGACATGTACAGTTGTTGCAGCTATGAGCAGATCAGTCACCATATATGTGTGCCATCATTCAATTGCAAGCAAGTTGATGATCCATAAGGAACTTGTAGTTTAAGCAATGGATTGGGTTCAACATCAGGAAATCCCCATCGGTGCACTGCAGGACTCAGAATCATCATGGTATAGAGTCTTTTCTGTCTTTCTACTTATAGTCACATGATCTCTTTGGCAGTGCCAGACATTGTACTTCTGACCACAAGTCTTCTTGAAATTGCAGAATTTGAATTGGTAGTCACAATGGGCAATGAGATGGGGAACCAAATCGTCACTGCTACTCGAGGTCCCTCCTTGCTTCCTCTATTGATTGTATCAACTTCTGTCTGCTTCTCTGTTCCTCCTGATGAGTTAGTGTTTGCTATCAGAACATGAAGATGAAGATGCTACTGACATGATGACCCATTCTTCAAATTCTCCTGCTACATCGAATGTCATACATGGTTCCCTTGATCATGACAAGCAAAGTGAGATTTGGTTGCATTCAAAGTAGTTCTTTGAACTTCGATATCCAATACTCGCTGGTGTTCACTCAGGTTGTTTTCTGACATGAGCTAATTCAGGTTTTGCTATGATGTCTTTTAGCAGTTTTTGAACAGCACGGAGAAGAGAATACAACTATCGACAAACTCTCGACAGCTTTGAATGTGTCAAATGATGCAGAATATCAAAATGATGTGAACAGAAAAATCTTGTCAGCTGAATCTGAGATATCATATGATAACACAGGGTCAGCTTATGTCGAGCCACCACCAGCAGATGACAATCTACATCAGAAGACATTAGAAGGTCAGTATCTGTTTCTTGTTCAACTACTAAAATCTTGTGCTTTCTTATATGATCAACTACAAATAGCACTACCTACATGACAAAAACATATCAGCTAATAGATAGATGATGTTTCATATAAGATAATCAAGGCTAATAATATTCTATATGGAAACACAAATAGGCAAATAACTTTAGAAATTTTGTTTCGATCTGATTGCAATTCTAACTTGATGTCATGCATTTAATTGACTAGTAGTAGATCAATGTTATATTAAATGCTGGAATTTGCTTAACAGTGGAAGATGAGAAGAAGATACAAGTTTTAGACATATTGCCTAAAAATGAAGAAGCATACTTAATTCCATCAGTAGAGATAAAGTATGATGGTGAAGAGAAACAATCAAGTGTAAAATGTGATGAGTTATCCAGAGGCATCATTGGAAAAATGGCTAGCAATCTGGATGCTTCAGGATCATATGAAAAAGATGATAAAATGGAAATATCAGCTACCAACCAAACATTAGAGAATAATAAATCTAGTGAAGAGAGTTTTCTGATGGGCAGTGATAAGGCATTTGATGAAAATGAGAAAGAGATTGGAAAGAAAAATTCTGTTGCATGTGACATACATGAATGTGTGTTGCAATCGAATAAGAGTTTGTCAACTGAATCAATCGATATTGTTTTTCTGGATGCTGTTGGTACTGAAATTAAAAGCTTGCTTACAGAGAATGATCAAAAAGAAATCAAAGAATTATCTAAAACAGAACCTCATGAATGCCACACAATCCTAAATGTGATTAGTAATGACTGCGAAGTAGGAATACTAGAAGATGTAAAGACGGACAACATTCAGATCAGCAATTTTCATACTCAAGCAAAGACCAATGATTGTAGTCAAAGAAAACATGAAACAGAGAAAATTGGCTTACATGATTTATATTTTGAAGAACCTATCCACACAAGCCAAGCAAAAATGACTGTGACTGTGGAGGAAAACCAACAGGAAAACAATTCAAGTTTGATCACTAGGGACTGTGATAAAGGCACAGAGCAAGAGGAGATAGTGAAGGGAAAAGAATTGATGGAAACTCCAGTCTTAGATAAAAAGCAAGAACAACATGTGGAATATGTAAATGAAGAGCAAAACAAGAAAAACAAACTAGTCAGGGACAATGAAGTCATTGGGAAAAGACCATTTGACCCTTCACTGTTATTAGATCCTGTTGCAAAAATGAGCAAAGACATAGTGAAGGAAACAAATGAGAAATTTATAACAAGTAAAAAAATAAATGAGATGACAAGTTCTAGTGAAGGCTTGAGCAGCGAAACCAATCCTTTGGAAGACCATGATATCACCATTGGGGAAAGGCTTCACTCAAAACTAACTAATCCGATTGATGAGGTGAGTGGAGATATGATGAAAAAGGAAGAATGCAACACAGGAAAAGGAACTACAGAAGAAAAAATTTGCCATCAAATTGAAGAAGTGTTTAATGCAACTATGTATGAGAAGGCTGACATATGTGAGATAAATTTAGTGGAAACTAAGGTACAATATTCACCTCTGGCAGAACCATCCAATCTGAAATTCAATGTTATTCAGCCAGATCACAGGTTACCTGAATGCTCAGAAGAGTTCAAGCAGAAAGAAGCTGCAGAGGAATCTGAAATGATGAATAAAAAAGATCTTAGTTCCAGTTCTCATTTTGGTGAATGTCTTGACATTAATTCAGTGCTCCCAAATATTAGAGAAACACTACCTTCACTTCTGTCAGAACAATCTAATCTGAAATTTAATGTTATTCAGCCAGATCACAGGTTGTCTGAGTTTTTTGAAGAGTTTGAACCGAAAAAAGCTGCAGAAGAATATGAAATACTGAATCAAGAAGATCTGAGTGATTGCCTTGATATCTATCCAGATCTCTCAGATATTGCAGATACAAATTATGAGCAAAATTTTGAATTAGATATGAAGAAAAGTTCCCAAACTGAGTTAAATGTATTGGTGAGCAAGATCAAAACTCAAGCAGTGCCAAAAGTTGAAGATGATGGGAAGATTTTGGATTCCGTAGTAAAGACTGAAGAAGAAGAATGCAGTCTCGCACCTGGATCAGATACAGACAGAGACCTTAAAACATTCCAAACTGCATCAGTGAGCAATATGGATACTCAAGCAATGCTGGATGAGAAGATTTTGGATTCTGATTCTAAGACTGCAGAACCACAATGTCATCTCCATGGATCTGTATTTTATACAGACACAAATCTTGAATCATGTCAAACCAATAGAGAATTCACCCTTGAACCAAATCAAGATGAGATAAATGCATCAGTGACCAAGATGCAAATTCAAGCGATGCTGAAAGTAGAGGATGGTGAGAAAATTATGGCTTCTTTGATAGAATCTAAGACTGTAGGAAAAGAATGCAGTCTCCATGCACCTGGATCTGATACAGACACAGATGTTGAAGAATTCCAAAGCAAGACAGCACTAACCCTTGAACCAAATCAAGACAAGTTTGATGTATGGACTGCCAATGATGTAAGTGAAAAACTTGAAAAATCCAGTGATGGAACCTTTTTGTTGAAGCAACAAGATTTGAAGGAAGCTTCAGTATTCCCTTCAACAGAAGATGTAAAAGATCACACGAATTCATCCAGCAGAAAAGCCCAAGAATATGACTGTGATGAAAACACAGAAAGATGCCAACATATTGCAGAAACTGCAGATGTGATGCTACAATCCAACAACAATGTATTTGATAAGAGTCCACTGCAATCACAAGGAAGACTAAAGGACAATGACCCTTCTGCAATGGAAAGAAGTAATTCCCTGAAACTGCAAACACCACTTCACAGCCTTATGAAAGAAGCACATGTTATGGAGCCACTGGAGAAAAAGGAAGACCTCAGTTTAAACAAGAACAAGTATGAGGTGTGGAAGTCTTCAGCGGAGGAATTCATCGCTACACCAACCAGGGGAAAAGGGAAGCAGAAGCACAGATCTTCCTTCTTCAGCAACTTCATGTGTTGCACAACAGGCACAAATTAATAGCTCTATTTTACAACATAGTTTTGCCTATAAAGGTTATTTGCTTTTTTCTTTATCCAAATTCTATTAACTGGAAGAGTTGCAATAAGATTGTGAGATGTTTGTGGTTTCAATAAGGGGAAGCTGCTAAATGATTGGAGAGAAATATTGTACTGGAATGTTCAACTTTTGCTTTGTTTTTGACAAGATTGTGAAAGGGTTTCATTGGAGGTTTTTAATTGCATAAAAAACCAATAATTTTCCTCTCAAGATGCCAAACTGTTCTAATACTCACTAAAATTTAGATTCATTATTAGAATTTTTTCATATTGTTAAAATTAGATTTAATGGTGTCAGAAATGCTTTGTTGCCAATCAAATATCAGAAAATCCTATTGAGTTAACATCCTTCCAAATGTATTCATCTATCGAATTCTTCATCATGATAGTTAGCCATTGTCATCACTAAACTTATGCAAATTGTAATAAAATAATATTGTACAGAGGTAATAGTTAATTTAGTAGCTCCTTCCCCTTTGATCTAACATTCACTGTTACATAAGAGCTAAGGTATTTGAAAACTATAATTACAAATAATGTAGTCACAACAGAAAGACTCTTCTCAAGGATCTAGTTTTTGATTGGTATTTAAATAATTTGATACTTTGGGAGGCCAAACACATAACTTTCCAATTTATTGAGGTTATACTCTCCACAAAAAAACAAAAATTAAGGGGTTAATAAGCACTTATTTTCACCAAAAAAATATGATTCTAAATAATAGTATCTGAAATAAAGTATATAAATCAAGAGATTTATAATCCCAGCTTCCACTCACAATTTATAGCCAGACTTTAGGTCCCTAAATGAAAAATAACAGCATGAATAAAATGCAGAAGAAAAAAATTGTGAAGACAAAAACTGATGCTTTAATGCTAAATTAAAAAGTGTAAAAAGAAGGCAGTATGCTATTTATAAAAGTTGATCTATAAGATAAAAGAAAACTTCAGGATGAATCTTACAGATGATCAGGAGGCATCAGCATCAGATGTAGTGTCAGTCTTTCTTTGCACACCCAAGCTGAGGTTCTCTTGAAATTGTGAGAAATCATGGTAGCTGTAGCAGAAATCATGGTAATTCATAAATGAAGCTACATAACACATTGGACCTCCAGTTGATTATTTCACTGTTAGATTCATAAATATAATGCACCAAACTGTCTTTTTTTTTTCCTATTAGGTACTTCATCGACCATATAGTTTCCTTTTAGTGTCAATTTTTGCTCAAATACAGATGAAACGTTCTTTGTATTAATTCTGGGCCAGCAGACAACTCTGTCACAGGACAAAATGCCCAAATGAATACAATAATAAAGGGGTTTTCTTGAGTAGAATTAGATGACTAGATCATGATAATTCCATGGTATCCACCACAACCTTACCCTTGCATGAAATTGCATGAAGAAATACATTTTTTGTGATTCAAACCTTCAACACCCCCGAGTTGCATTGGAGTAACTATCCTTAGTGCCAAGGCTTAACTTTAGCATAACTTTAATCAACTGGCCGATACATGACAGCTGTCTTTATGTTGAAACAAAATGAATGTTTCATAACACTCCCTCTAGCACTGAATATATTGGAAAGGGAAGTACACCCTCTAACATGTATAACAATCAAGTAAGAATTTAGTACTTCATAAAAAATTACTTAGGCAGCCATAGCATACTCTGCAAATCATCCACTTGTATCAAACATGCCAGATTAGTAGAGAAAACACTCTTCTAAAGTGTGATGGTTCTAGCAGAAACTTAAAATTCATCATATTCTATCAACTGAAACATGTCTTATCCTTTGCCATATATGCATGCACATCGTGCACACATGTGCATGCGCACATATTAACATGTCACTGTAGGAAGAAAAATAAATTGATGAAACGTGCTTCCAGAATATGAGATGAAAAAGAGTATCCATGCATTTAATTCTTATAAATTAAATAATTTTTTCAATTAACCATAGTTTCCAAAATGCAATTGATTCACCCAGTTATGGCATTTTTTTTTTACCATTCATCTTTGAATTCTATCAGCAAGTTCAACCAAATATACTTCAGAGGAAAAACGAAATGAATGAGAAACAAAAATTGCTCTTGATTCACAGTTATGACAGTATCGATTCCATTTAGAATCAGAAAGTTCAGAGTTATTGCAAGAAGCAACCCTTAATGCTTTCAAAATATATACATGTAGTTACAAGCAACTAGCAGAAATACTTTCCAGAAACTTCTAAGCATGCTTATCCGCCAATTTAATCATTCCACTCGTAACAGCAAACTGAATTTTTCTAAACCCCATTCTGTAGATGATCCCCAAAGAGAGTTAGACATATGCCAAACAACTATATGATGCTGAACAAAGAATTTAAGCAGATAACAGATGCCTCAAGTGATGTAAATGCTCTTCATTAGAAATATTAAGAGAGAGACGGAGATTTGTTAGAAGTGACTCCTGCTCCCAACTTAAAGGACCAGAGGCATGAAACGCTTCCACAGTAGAATGGTATGCATGTAGCTCTAATTCATGGACATTAGCAGCCAATTCATCTCCAGTTTTGCTTTGACACTCATCAACCAAACTATTAAATGCAGTATCCTTGTGTTTTCTGAGACTTTGATATGTATACCCTGGATAAGCATTACCACTGCAACTAGCAACAGAGCAATCATTGTTATCATCAGAGACTGGCAAAGGTGTTGAAGATGGAATCAGGACATGATTATTTGTATGCCACTTATCAGCATTTATCCAAGGAGACCCACCTACTCTTTCTTTACTGGACTTATGCAGGAAATTCTGACTGTCCAAATCTTTTGAAAAAGAAATAGTGTCCATCCTTTGAGGTAGTGCTTCTCTAGCTAACTTATGAGATCTGTTTTGGATGAATTTCCCTTTCCTGTCCATTCCTTTAACCAAATCAACTGGCGAAAAGCCACAGTAGGATCTGAGTTTTGGCTTCATAGTTTTAATAGGAGAACTGCAGACAACATGCTTTTGCTTTGATGTACGTCCAATCGAAGTTTGCTTCCCAATGCCTTGACTTGTTGCATAATCCAATTTTCTTGCATTATTGGAGCTAGAGTGCTTCCCTCCACTTCCCTGAATGAGATAGAAATATTAATCAGAGAACTATGAGATAATAAGATAATGCCAAGAGCAAATCATCTGCAAAAATAAGAAAGATCTAAACAAACGACTAGGTATTCCCAGTTCATTCTTTTTTAAAACCATTTTTCACAAATACATTGCAGCAATTGAAATTGTTAAATTCACTTAGGTGATGCAATTTATATGAGACTGTGTAAAAGAGCACAGCAACACACTCATCATGCTCAACAGAAAACAACACATTGATTTAAGTATTAACTAGAACAAAATATTAAATAGAGGCATCTAATGATTAGTATAACCATGATTGAAGCCGGAGTGGTAATTTCTCTGTTTGCAGGGGTAAACCCTTATTTAATATAATGGTCTGTATAGAATCAGGGGTAAACCCTTATGCAAGCCAGAGTTGCTTGAATCAACAGTCCTTTAATACCACAGACAAGCTTTCAATCAAGGTTCGCCGTATCATAGCATACAACCTAGTATGGGTGGCATGTACAGGTCCGACAGAGGACCAGTACGGTCGGTATGTACTGGTCCGATAGAGAACCAGTATGGGTGGTACTTCGATATGCCCCCATGTATCATGTGTCGGTATGGCTCGGTACAACTCGGTATGTACAATACCAATAGTTGATCGGTGCACCAGTACGGACTAATAAGGCAAACCATGCTTTCAACTACCGAATGTAACATTGAATGTTAACAAGAATGCTCATGCTAGATGGATCCCTTGAGGAACACTTGGCAGTCTTGTGTTGATCAAACTTCTTCCAGCAAGAAGCCATTAAGCATGGTGTCATTATTACCTTCTTATTGCCGTACAAGCATGAGTAACTAATGTAGAACTGTTAAGAAAAGCAAATGAGTGCTTTATATTCTACACATCGTTATGAACTTATTTGATACACTGGATACTAAGATGTCAAAAACGTTGAAAGTATAAATATAGTGCTGAAGTAAAATTGTTGTGAAAATGAACAAGCAAGAAACAGAAACATAAATTTCTCAAGTCACGATCTTTGACAAACACTCTGCTGAATTTATGGAAATATTGATATAGACAGTACTAGAAACACTTTTTTCCTTTTTGACAAAATGCAATATGTTATGAATTAGTATTGCAAGCAAGACAAAATCATGTATATGTGTGAGAGAGAGAGAGGGAATAGGAACAGAAAACTAGAAATGTGATCAAGAATGGAAAAACTCAAGTTAGCTAAGCTTGTTATGAAGATCATTTATTTGAACGACGCTCAAACAGAAACAACAAGCAGTAACACATTTTATAAATTTCTCATGATCACAGATTAGAGCTCTAATTATGTGCTCACACCAAAAGAGCAATTAACAGATGAATCAAGAAGCTTTCAGTAATTTGAACATTAGTATTTTATAGACATTATAGTAAAATTATATCTAGTAACAAAGTTAGACCAAAGGGACCAACGTTATAGATATGACAGATCAACTGAAAACTAGGACAAAAGAGAGTAGAAAAGAAACACAAGATATCCTTGATGCATCAATCTTTTACCTGATCAATCATAATCCATCGGTTGTTTTGCCACGCCTGTGGAACTCTTAGATCAGACACACGGTGTTCTTTAAGCTGGATGGAACCAAAGAGTTTGATCACAACTCGGTCATTTTTTAGGACTTTCACAACCTTCCCAGCTCTCCAAGAACAAAGATCAAGGACCTCCGTGATGTCACCAGCAGTCCACCACTTTTTTCCACTCGGTAGCGATGGGCAAGGCCTAACATCTTCCTCATGTACTGTTTCCACCACAGACTTCTTATCGGAAGTCATAAATAGCTCGTATCTAACCGTATATGTTGAACTGTGCACAAATGAAATTTTAGCAGGGAACCAAGAATCATACTGCTCCTCTTTTCTTCTCAAGACCTCTACTCTATCACCTTCTTTGAACTTCATGATGATATACAATATACTCAACCCTGCTTGGCCCAGCCTGATCGATAAAATGGTGGTAAACCAGCAAAATCAATTGTTCTCTCAAACTCCTTAGCACCAAAAAGATCTCCAGATGCAGAATAGGCAAGATATGCAATGCTCACTGATGATCTGACACAGAAGTCTCTTTAGTCCTGAAAAGAAGCGCCAAATAACGTATCAGCTCGTCCCTTTTTCACAACCGTATCAACATCAAACTGTACAAGCAACAGATCTGACTACCAAATGTAGATTAGTCCAAATCTTGTAAGAAATTATTCCTCTGAAACAAAGGAAACCTATTGGCAAGATGTAACATACATTGAACACAAATAACAGAAACCATGAACCTGGAAGGAGCAGGAAATAACAAACAAGATGACAAAATGACACAACAAGAAGCTAATAGTTGAAGAGACCAAAGACCATTCACCAAGACCTCTACAATAAACGGATGAGAAAACGAGGAGGGTGTGAGCTAGCATGCTAACTACCACAATAAACCAATACAAGTCCATCAAAACCGAAAAAAGGATGCAACCAAAGCCTATATGTTATCCAAGAAGAGATCTTTAACTGGGTAAACACAAAAAAAGAACCAACTTTCTTGATCAAGAACACGCGAAATCAAATAAAAACATCAACTTTCCGCTGGACCAACCTTCAATCCAAGATTTCGGGCGAGGAAACAAGGGGGGACAGCTCGAATCCCAGCAAGGGAGGCAAAAAGATCGAAACTTTGGCACATTCCCGTATGCCCAAACCCCGAAATCGATCGACCAAAATCAAAGAGACCGATCCGAAGACAGTTGGGAACGGAATGCGACGCTTAGATTTGGGCCGGGGCGGCGTATTCTGGGAAAACAGGGTGCTATTTGCTCCACAGAAAAGCTGTTTTGTCCACAATTTAGAAGATAAAATTAAAAGAATAGTAGTCTCTGTTTCTTAACATCTAAAGCTCCAATAATCCATAATCTTAATTGAATTATATATATATGTTTCATATTTAATAGATTTTCATAATCTCTTGGGTCACCCTAAAAACATTAAAGAAATTGATGACAGAGGGAGATGGGGATAGTTCAAGAAAGGAACATTAAGGTACATGTTATCTATAACAACAAACACAAATCTTTTGGTGGATGTGCTAAGGGTAGAGGTAATAACAATATGAACTGTTTTAAGGTTGACCAGTTTCATCACTAAAATTAGACTTTATGCTGGCAAATATCATTGCTAAATTTACTCAAATAATAAGAGACATAAACCTACACTTTATGTAACTCAACCTGGGTAGAATATATTACCTTAAAGCATCAACAATGTTAACCATGGTCCAGCAAAGACTAAATCTAATATTGATTTAGGTCTTCATACATGAATGTGTGGCATGTAAACACAATGTTTTGATGAGTTGCAGATTCTATTCAACTATCTAACAAATTTTTAGTTCTACTGAGCAAGATCTTCTTGGAACAGTACAATATCATCTTTCTGCAGCCTACTTGTTCCTGGTTATTGTTTCTTGGTTTGAACTATCACAATTTATCTCAAGATCAAGTGTTCTGGTTCATGAAACCTATGACATAATTATATGGTCACCAACATATTATGACACCCAGCAAGAGTTCCCTGAATCTGTCAGATTAAATCCTAACTTACAATATTAATGATGTTGTCTTTGGATTTGCTTGTCCACAAGAATTCCAAGTATATTTCCAGTAGAACATCATTATTTTAGGAAGCCTACTTGTTTATTCTGCATCTTTTATATTACTCCTGTCAATATAAATACAATGTAAGCTAATCTGTTTTTTTGTTTTCTTGAGGGAAGAACTATTTATTCTTCTTGATTAATGCATGCCAATCACACCTTTAGTAATACTATGGTGTGCAAAAAGGCATAAGGCAAGCACTTGGTAGCTCAATAGCTCAACTTGCAGATGATAGATATCACACATCAGAAACCAACATCATCTCCCAGCCTTTGCGGATGGTGTTATTCCACTAATTCTCCTTGCAACTTCTACATGTCAATGTGTGGGTTGAGTCCAAGAACTTGAGTTGCTGCACTCTGTCTACTAAGGACATGGACCTGAGATGAAGTGGACAACTCTCTCAATGTAAAATGCTAATTCTGACATCATGAGACAAGGACATATCTGTCTTAGGCAGGCATATTTAAATCACACTACACCAGTAGCAGACAAATCATCTCAGCTCACTTCTTATCCTACCATCTTTCTTTCATCATTTGATATTTTATTTTATCCAACCCTTTGATAAAATAAAATAGAATTATAACTGGTGGCTTAGCTTGTCATCTTCCTTGAGCTATGAGATATATAGGTGACAGGAGCAAAAGAAAGTTGGTATAGCAACTTGTAGGAAACAAGGCTCTTTTCTCAGAGGGCCAGGCCTTGTGCAGAAACAGGGTTTTGGTGGATCAACAAGAACACAACTTTCACAACAAGTGGTCTTATTTCTCCAATCTAGCTTAGACAAAAATCTGATGCATCAAGCAATTTCAGAAAGCTAAATGAACAGCAAGCATAGTGGCCTAAAGTTGCAGTACTCACCCAGTATAAAGTCAATTCCACTGCAGTCCTTTTTATCTTAAAACTGATGGACACAGGGAAACTAAAAATACTTGAATTCTGTAGCTGCTTCAGAACAACTGGATCTTAAGTTAAACAATACTAAATAGAAATGTCGACAACTATCTATCTGCAAACATGTTCCCCAGATTTTTAAGATATTTGTGCTGCACTTTTCAGTTAATCTCAGATCATTGATGTTATGTAAGATTAATAGAATCCAGATGATTAAGTCAGGATGATTAGATCCTTATCATGTTTCTTCATGCAAATATAACAGTTTTGATGTAAGCCACCGTTTAATGTTATGTCAGTGATGCACATCCACTTCATGATGGGTCCAGCATCATCATCTCATGTTCTCTTTGGAACTGGGATCACTGCACTCTGCTGTGTTCCATGGGGGCCTCAAGGAATGGAGAATTCTCAGTGAGATGTCAAGCTCACAATAATACCATTGTGGGAGATGATTAAGGTCTGTCTCCTCGAGAGATGTCAATCTGATAGCCTGCACAAGTGATTTATTTTGTTTACAGCAGACTGGACACGAACAGAATCCTTCAAGTTTTGATGCTCGGAAAAGATCATTCGATATCTTGAAGATGACAAACAAACCAAAGTAAATCAGCAAATTGTTTATGAAATCCAATTTATGAGCCCTACCCAACTGATAAATTGAAGCTTTTAAACTGAACCACAAGGATTACAAATTTATCATCTCATAAAAGCCAATCCATCCTACATGACATTTAATTCCTTGATAAAGACTGGCCAAAGGATGAATGATGAGCCAACAAAAAGGAGTAAATCCACAAGCTTGCTAACAAATCCAATTAATGAGTTCTACCCAAACAATTCCATCTCAGACATAACTATGGATCCATTGTCACCTTCGCAAGCTAGAAAATGACATGAAACTTCCATGGTTAGAAGACAACAATAATTAATGCCCGCTTGCCTTCTTCCTTCTTTTGCTGCACCAAATCTGTTGTAGGATACGAAAAAACCGAGTCTTAACTTATCACTAAACCATTCATGATTTCTCGACGTTGAAAGCGAAACAAGAGCTTACGACTCACGGAGTCACGAAACAGTGTAACGGTTCGTTATAATCGTCATAGAGGTTTATAACGCTTGCGTTATCTTCTAATCGAGGGAAGAGAACGTAGCACTCGCTACATTTCTTTCTTCCCTTTATGCCCCTCACCTGTCCAAAATACTTCGGAGCAAATGTGTAGATTAATTGCAGAATGGGGGGTAGATCGGATATTTAAGAGAATGAGGACAACCTTGCGCGACGCGCGGGTACGGACATGTCGTACACGTGTCAGCATTCAGTACGACATCGAAGGCCGCTCCGTGGAACCTGCCACGTAGCCGACCAAACTAAAGGGAGTTTATCCTCTCCTTTTAAATCACCCGGCCGCCCCGCTCCTCCGCGCACCGACACCTCCCACCTCGTTCGCCGGGATAAATAGAGGAAAGCGCCGCTCTGGAGCCGGCCATCGACGGAATCTCCCTCGAGAGACTGTTCTTGTTGCTCTGGTGACGTCAAGGATGAGCATTTCTGTATTCCGATCCGTGAATCCTTTGGCGACGAGAGGTGATATTGCAGAGTGCTGTTGAATGTTGGGTGAGTTCCTGTTTTCGTGCGCAAAAACTGGTTTTTTGGGGGCTTCTTGATTTGTGTTGATATCGAGTTTGGGTATTATTGTGTAGAATGTGGGTTCCGTGATGCGGTTTACTGCTGGGGTTTTGGTGGTGGTAGGAAATGGAGTGGTAGCGAGCGGTGCGAGGAGGAGGAAAGGCGGGGTTTTGATCGGGATCGCGTAAGCAATGCCGTTCCAGATGAAGATTCAACCGGTGCACGCGAGCGGAGCGATGGCTTTCCTGCCGCGGAGCGACCCGGTGAAGCCTGTGGCCAAGTCGCGGCTGAAGCGGCTCATTGAGCGGCAGTTCCCGAGCGTCCTGAGGAGCTCCTCGGCGGAGAAGACTGCCGGATTCGGGGAAAGGAGGGAAAAGGAGAGGGAGGACGGAGGCGACATCGAGCCCAGTTCGGTGTGCTTGGACAGGATGGTCATTGGTTTCATCGAGGGGGGATACCACGAGAAGCAGCCGCGGGGTCGATGCAACTGCTTCAACGCGAACTTCGACGACAGCTCCGACGACGACTTCGATGCCCGCGACAGCGATGCTCCGGGCTGCGCCGCTGCCCCCAGCGACGTGGCCGAGGCGATCAAGGTAGGCTAACTATTCCTCCTGGAAACTCGATCTTTTGGCGTTCTGGGCTTTAACTCAAAAGCATATCGCGGTTTGAGCAGAGTTTGGTGCTCTGCGCAAGCGTGGTGGAGAGAAATCTCTTGGCAGATGCGTCGAAGATCCTCGAGAAGGCGAAGAACTCGAAGAACAAGGGCGAGTGTCGAAGGATGGTATCCGATGGGCTTCGATCCCTGGGCTATGACGCCGCCATTTGCAAGTCTCGGTGGGATAAAGATCCCTCATTTCCGGCCGGTATCCTCGCACATCTCCGCAATTGTCGACCTTCTTCACCTCTGTCTCTCATCGACCAACGTCGTTGACGTATGGACTATTGGCGCGTGCAGGGGAATACGAGTACATCGACGTGGTAATGGACGGCGGCGACCGATTCCTGGTGGACGTGGACTACAGGTCGGAATTCGAGGTCGCGCGACCCACCAAGTCATTCCGCGCGGTCCTCCAGCACCTGCCGCAGGTGTTCGTCGGGCGCTCCGACCGGCTGCAGCAGATCGTCGCCTTCGCCTCGGAGGCGGCACGTCAGAGCCTGAAGAAGAAAGGTCTTCACGTGCCGCCATGGAGGCGACCCGAGTACATGAAGGCCAAGTGGCTCTCCCCCTACCAGCGGACGGCCGACAGGGAAGCCAAGGAGGAGTCGGCGAGCGGAGGGGAGGTCATCCCCTGTTTGATCTCGTCCGTCTACTTCTCTGGCGTGTCCGAGGATTGCGGCGCCGGAGAGGTGGCAGACGACAGGACCAAGGGGGTCGTCTCACCATGGCGGCCGCCGCCTGCGAGGCCGCAGGCAGGGGTTAAGGTCGTCACCGGCCTTGCTCTGGTCCTCTAACAGTATGGAAGGAGAATTAGTCCTTCCTTTCTTTGTGGCAAGATTGGATTTTTATTGCTCTTAAAGTTTTGAGCTGAGAAGAGAACGCTGCTTCTGTAGAGTACTAATCTTCCAAGTGGAATCCACCATGGGATGATGTCTCATGATCTAGAATTGTTAGGGTGGTCATCGTTTTGCTTTCTTCTCGCAGATTTCTGCGGCGGAAGACAAAAGATGCAGGGAAGCGTGCAACCTGGCACTCATTGTTCCCGATGAATGCCGAGAGTTTATTGCACGGATCGAGGCATTCTCAGCAGGACTCGGCGATGTGTTCTTGGGTGGCAGTGGCGGTCTCTCGAGGGGAAACAATGATAAAGGAAGGCACAAAATGAATGATTCAACGATGGAAGCCTCGTGCCGTCTCGATTCGATGATCGTTGTGACAGGAGACGCAGACTCTTCATTATCTCCACACGATGGCTACGCTTCCTGCGTCTTCCATTTTGTGATGTAGTAATATTGTGTGCGGAGTCCTCTTTGTCACCTGTCTAATGTCTTGAGGTAAAGAAACAACAGCATTAGCACAAGAACAAAGAGCATCATTGTTGAAGTCTTTGCCATGAGAACATCTCCGCTTAGTTTAGTGTTAACATCAACCTCATCTGAAAGTCTCCATATAAAGATCAAAGGCATAATGTGTACACCTTGGATGGTTGCTATTCGTGGAGTAAGAAACACTGATGCAAGTATAAATACTGAGGTCTTCAAAGAGAGAGAGAGAGAGAGAGAGAGAGAGAGCGTGATTGCTGCAGTTCTTTACCACAACACATTTACAAACTCGAGATCAACAAGAAAAGAAAAAGAACGGAGCATGATTGGTTGATGAAGGCTTTTACCACAAGTAAATCTAGGAGGAGAGAGAGAGAGAGACAGAGACCTGTCGTAAGAATAGCGGCAGTTAATACACAGCTTCCAGGAAAACAACAGCCTACCAAACTCTGCGATTCTTCTGGTCTTCCGCACCGCTGTTGAGGTCATTATGGTTTCTGCACCCTCTTTGTTAAAGCCCTCATCAATAGAAGAATCGTTGAGGAGGCAAAGAAAAGAATCCTGCAATGGAGACAGTGAGTAATACAGTGAAACAAAGAAAGCTTCACCTGGTTTCCACCCTAAAGCAGCATATTGCTCCTACTATTGCACTTCCTGGAAAATGGCTTCATGTACTCATGGTGGGGTGTGGCCATCACTGCTGTCTTTCACATACCAATATCTACAATCAAAACCCTCAAAATATTATGCTGTTCCTTTCAAGCCTAATGCTCCAAAGAAAAGCAAAAACAAATGTGCCCCAGCCAGATTTCACCTCTCTTTTATCTTCAATCTCCTCCAAGTAAATCACAGATTATCAATAGCATAAACTCCCAACAAATCAGATATATATATATATATATATGTATATATATATATATATGTATATATACATATATATATGTATACATATATATATTTATATATATATATATATATATATAGAGAGAGAGAGAGAGAGAGAGAGAGAACTTCATCCAAAAAAGACAAATAGATACTCTTAAGATGCACTTGCCAATGTTTCTTCTCTCATAAGATACTCTTATGAGCTGAAAAATATGGTCACCATGGCAAAGAAACCAACAAGTGTCCACTCCGAGATGCAAACTATGCTCAAAGAAAACTGTCATTCTGAGAAATATTTTTGGGGGGGCAAATAAAGAGAAACCAAAAGTTGTCCCCACACAGCCAACAAGAACAAAGGAAACTCAATAAATCTTATACAAGGGTATATTAAACATCTTACAGGATGGCCTTGGCCACCAATTTATTCTTCCCTATAAACCAAAGTTTGGAGATACCAAGCAAAAGGCAACTTCTTATGATATACTTCCATTTAATTCGTCTTCTCAGCAAGTTGATTCAGCCCAATTTTATATGATAAAATTCCTCAAATAAAATAAGAAAATATGACTAGAGGAACTTAACATGTTCATTGTCCTTGCATTGACCTAGTTATTTCTCAAAGGAGTGCACTCTTCAAAGACCTAGTGAATGCTTCCAACTCGTTCAGTCCTTCCTCGGGGGATTTTGCACCACCTAAAAGTTTAACTATTGCACTACCAACAATTACACCATCTGCTCCCCATCCAGCTACCTACAAGATTACCAAACTAGCAAGGCTTAAGAGTGATCCAAGCACCAAATGGTTAGGAATTGAATGACAGCATTGTCCACCGACTGACCTGCTTCACATGCTCTGGTTGGGATATACCAAAGCCAACTGCAACTGGTTTAGTCGTAGACTGCAAATATGCAGAAGCATTGTCATCTAAATAAGCCACAATGCAGTAAGTTGTAGCAGGTTGGCTAAAGAAATTGTCAAGTAATTACGACAATATTAGGACTATGATATTAAACTATTCTACATAAGAAAACCATCAACTTATTTCAAGATGAAATCTACATAGTTAAAATATAATGATCTCAAGTATACTTAAATCAACTTTGTTTATTTTGAAAAATGGATACACAGCTGAATTCAATAGACATTCATGTATTTAACAAACCACTATTTTGTTCTATTAAATTCCCTAAAATGTATAGGTTGGACTGCACCACAGCCCAAGATGCTGGACCAAAAGTTTGGGTGATCACATGATCGTCTTTGAACAAATATCAGGAGAATAAGACAATGTCCATATTTGATCTGCCTACTGAATAAGAAGAGACATTAGAGCTAAAATTAATAACAAAATTACTGCAAAGCAAGGTGTAGAGGTTTGCCAACACAAGGGCTCTAATCTATAGGCTGTGTTCTGATGCAAATGTTCTCAGCATAGAGCATACGTATCTCAAACATGAACACATGAAAACTAAAGTGACACAAAGGATATTGATTTGAAGGTCCTGAACTAAACAGCCTTCACAAAACAATAGCAAAAGAAAAAGGAATGTGTTTATTTTTTAACAAGTAAACAATTCATTATGGAGTAATCAGGCAAAATACATGGCTCATAATGACGCAAGTGCAAAATACATAGCATTCCAGACAATAGAATAGCTATCAGGAAAATTACTTGCTCATCAAACACTCATAAATTACCCATAGCTTTACAAAGTGAATATGCAAAAGGGAAGTTTAAGCATGTGAGCTTGAGAAATTATGATAGTTAACATGATCAAGATTACCAATACTACTCTGATCCCAGTTTTGGTAGCCCTTTAACTGGTAGTATCAGTATACCAGGCTATGTGCTAATGACCTATACTACCTAGTACCTATGTTATTGAATAAAACAATATTTGAAAATGAATGATATATATACCTGTAGCGAGCTATACATTTCAATACAGGTACTTGGTCAAACCGATAAATACTGGCCAGTACATTTAGGTCTAACTGATTTTAAAAGTTCAACATGATCAGGACTCTTCCAAACACACATTCAAACATCATCAGTTTCTAAACCATTAAGATCTGTGACCTGCTTTTGCTTGATAAAATAGAACCTAGTAATATTTTCCGGTTGCAATTTGATTCACAAACTTTTAGTTAGGAACAGAATTCCTAGTCAGATCATAGAACAAAATATATACTTGTAGAACCAAAATGTAAGCAATCACCTAATAAGCTTGTTGAACATCAAAATTAATTTATGAAGCTCCCAATCACAGAAACCAAGAGGGCTTCGCATAGTGGTTGTTACCCCTCTTCACCTTGGGGAGGTTCTTGGTTGGCATCCTTGTAGAGTTTGGTACTCAAGAATTGGAACCATATAATTCTTTGGGCAGTGGATCACTTACTCCACTATTCTCAACAAAGAAATTTAAAAAAGGGAAAGAACCACAAGTAAATTAGCTCAACATCTAGCAGTCATCCCCCTATGAAGTCCAAAAAAAAACAACATACACGTTAGGTGGTCAGTTAATACAGAACTCTCCTTAATTGCATCACTTAAGTTTCTCTGTGTTCCTCTCCATAGATTATGAACCCAATTTTATCATATTTTTTATCAGCTGTTAGTTGTCCTCAACTGCTATTGCTGTCATGGCTATGTCTATCTATTATTCATTGGCTGTCAGTTGATATTTTTATCGGCTGTCAGTTGTTCTCAACTGATATTATGTCATGGTCATGTCTATCTATTATCCAGTGGCAGTTTATGCCAAGTTATATTTGCACATCTGAAATTTATTATCCATACGCAACTTATGCCAATTTATGCTTGCAAAGCATTTGACGAGGTTTTTAGTATGGTTTGAGTCTACTGAGTTCAGTTGCAAACAAGGGAAAGTTACTGTTCTTTTCAACCCTTCCTTTTTCTATATTTTGAGTTAGCTACTCAAATTTGTAGACTCCAAATTCCAAGATGAGATACTTGACACATATGAATAGGAGAAGAAAAAAGAATAACAGCTTGTATGATGATTTTGATTAATTCCATTCAGCAGTAAAGGACAAGAAGCAAGGCAGCAGACCTCTTTAATCTCTTGCAGGAGAGATCGCACACGTGAACTAACGGATGCACGGGCACCAGTAACTCCAATAGAACTCACCTACATGAAAGATTCAAACAAACATTAATAAATAAAATCTAGATTAAGGAAAACAACTACATGAAATCACACAGATTCTAGAGCTTAAAGTACAAAAACATACATTTCTTTCAGGAAAAATTAATTCTGATATGCACAGGTACCAAACAGTAGTAACAGTATTATGGATCAAACAAACAACAATCTTAAAATATCGAAGATTGCAGTTCACATAACTCAAGATTACACAAAAAAAGATAAAAATAGCTGAACCAATATAGTTCTCTTCTTATGGTTTGTCTCATAAAAGAAAAAATTTTAAACATTGACAATGTTCTCAAAGCAATTGAGCAAATTTATAGACAACAAAGGCTCCTAGGTTGTAAACATTTAAGCACTTCAATGTAACGCGACTAGACGGTTCAGTTACACAAAAAAAAAAAAAACAAATTTACCTAAACAATTGCCAGAAATGATCAAAATTCTGCTTAAAAAATATGAAGAGTTCACAAGGCCAACATATATCATGAGAGAAATTTATCTGGATATGCCATCCAATTAACAAATAATCAATATCATTTGACTGTAAACTTCCAATTGTCATTTCTTTGGTGCAAGAAAATAAGAGAATAAAAGTTTGGGCAACCTATTAAGTATTAATCCTACCTCATCTTTCATGCATGCATGTCTCACTCTTCCTATATTACTCAAAGATCAAATTAATATTATTATCTTTTGTTTTAGCGAAGGAAAAGAGAAAATGAAAAAGGAATTAGGTGCAAGAGGAACAGGTTTAACAAAGTATTTCCAGACAGGAAGCCAGAACCCCAACTATTACTAGCCTCATAAATTTATTTGGCTGATTTAACAAAGTTTAACAAAGTCTTTCTAGACAGGAAGCCAGAGCCCCAACTGTCACTAGCCTCATAAATTTATTTGGCTGATTTACTCTATATCAAAGCTTTCTCTCATCCTACTTCGTCTCCTTCCTATGATGTCTGTGTCCTCCCGGCCTTTGCCCAATCCTACTAAATTAAGAAGCCGCACCCCAACCTCAAGGCATCTGAACTTAGTGGAAATTGTCTTCAATGAAAATCAGAACCACACATCTCTAGCACCTAAAAGAAACAAAATAAAAAATAGAAAAAACTAGTGCACTCATTGCACAAGGCTCCCGCCAATGCGAGGTATGGGGAGGGTCAATGTACGAATAGAACAAAAGATAAAAAGCTGATTTAGTTGTCAATACTAATCTCTCAAGTTCCAGGCCAAGCACTTTAACTATGACCACGCACAGTCCTTGTCCTCTTTAAGATCATTGCCAAGGGTCATCCCAATCAGTTGAACGCAGCTAGAGAGGTTCATCTTTAGTAATCCTAGAAGTATCACTCCACTGTCTATCCAAGATTAAACTGCAGCATCAATGGAGGGGCAGTGGTGATGTGGATGGATGACAGGCCATTTCAGGTAAATTTAGATATGAAATCTCAAAAATGTATATAGGGACCTGAAGTTTTTATGTGCATAAACCTTACAAGTATTGTGATTGGTAACCTGAAGTTATTAACTTTTTTCCAAACATAAAAGTGAAACAATTGTGGTTATAGTGTCTTTCTACTAAAACAAGCTAAGAAATGAAGATAATCTGTAAATCTTCCTTTGTATGGGCTCAGAAACAGTTGAGTGATGCACCTGAACAATCAGAAGATAGAAGAGGATGTTTGTAGGTAAATAACATAGAAACAAAAGATTTCTTAGAAAAACATTCTTATTATTCTCAAGGATATGTGAATAAAATAGGAAGATAATAGAATTCATAGAATATAATCTCACAGATCCAGGGAATATAAGTAGGTAGTGGAAAAACCTAAAACGGAGCACTAGAAGACAGCATATGGAGGAGTTAGCTAATGGTGGTAGCAGTACTGGCTAGGTTTGTTTATGTAAATCTGAAACCTGATTTCCTTGACAATATTGCAGATGACATGAAGAGCTTGAAGTAAGTCAAAAGGCTTACCAGGTATACAAATCCTTCTGAAGCTTCAACAATTTCTTTCATTCTTTCTGTTGGTGTAGTAGGTGTTGTAAGCAGCACCTATAGTGAAATAAGAAAGTAGAACAAATTGAAAAAGAAAAGCATTATGAAATCTTAAACAAGACAAAGGTTCCTTACATCATCAGTATCAAATGTTACCTACACTAATTGGCAAATTGAACAAGGAAAACAAATATTTCCTACATCATCAATCAGTACAAACAGTTGAATATTGAATCCATATAAAAATTGGCAATGTCAATGGACAATGGAGTTTGGGAAATAACTAGTAAGATGTTTACAAAAAGTTTGTGCAACAACAGAAGCATGTAACATTCTTTAAGTTACACAATTATGCAATGGCAGAAATTTATACAAGACCTTGGCGATTGGCTTATGAGCTTCACTGCCAGCTAAAAGAATCTAAACATAAATAGTCAAATTTGAGGTCATGATAGAATCGATAAGAATTCTTCCTTTTGGAAAAAAAGATACTTCAAACATGCACAATCTGCAATCTTTTGACTACAATTCATTTTCAATGAGCTCAGATCCCACCTTAAAGACCATATGATGCAAGACCTCTGGCCCCAATATAGGTTCGGTCAGCAGCATTCAGAATGCTGCCTATCGCAACATTGAAAGTATACAATGATTAACCAAAGAAGACATGTAAATTGCTATTCGAAGATAAAAGAAGCAAAGAGAAAAAGAGCTCAGATGTCGAGGTCTACATTCAACCACGTGATTTGCAGTTGAAGTTTCTCAGATTCAGTTTCTTGTCTAGAAGACCACCATTCTAGAATCTCCTTTTAGCAAAGACGAAAAAAATTTTAGCTCCAATATAAACTGTTCTAATATTTTATTTAATGGGCTTCAATCAATAGCAAAGCAGAAAATCCGCAATCCAAAGCGCAACAGTAGATTGTGATGTAAGGTTAACATTAGCGCCAAAGTTACATAGTGTTCAACAGTCTAACGACTAACAGTAACCAACGGTTGTTTTTCATGATTCTTTGGTCTGTCAGATTCCAGTTCTAAAGACTAATTTTCTCTTTCTTTTTTCCTTAGTAGCAGAATACTCCTCATTACCTACAGAAGATGTTAATGACAGAATCTTCCTCTTTATTTACCTACATGTACATACAGTCAGATTTAAGAAACATCACCAATTACTTTGGACCCCAAAACTGTAATAAAAAGTCTCATGCATGAAAATAAGGCAAAGCAAAAAGATACGATACAAAAGGGACATACTAACTCAATATTATGCTTAGCAGCTTCTTTTCTTAAGCTTTCAGTCTCCTCCAAAGGAACATCAGGTACGACAAGACCTGAAGAAATGACAACTGTTAATGATGTGCAAAACTAGTTAGCTACAGTAATTACATTTACAGAACATTTAGAGGGGCCTACAAGCTAATTTAGCAAAGGTATATTCAACTAAAATTTGCAGATAAGGAAACACTAAATAGAAGTTAGAGAATAGTATGTGCAAGAGAACCATGATGCATTTTTAGTAGAAGATGGGACTCAGCAAATTGTACAGATAGTTAAATAATTACCACGTACACCAACTTCTTCTATAGTAGACATGAACTTATCAATTCCGCGCTTCAGGATTGGATTGTAGTACGTAAAGATAGCAATTGGACAAGATAGTTGAGGGACTACCTGCTCACACAATATAAAGAGCATTATATAGCATGAGAACTAATTGTCTAATTTATATAAAGTTGGAAAGTTTCAAAAGGTGCACGAAGATGCTTAAAACAATTGAAATACTACAACTGAATTCACAGAATATGTTAAAAAAAGGTAAAATAAATAAAGTCATTTAGCATTACTGAAAAAGTTTCTCTTGCTTGCTTCTCAAACAAGACAGTCAAGATGATATGCATGCGCCATTGTCTAGTATTAAAAAGAAATTTTTCCAGAGAAACTATTTGTCAATCTGTTGAAGGACCTTTTGGCATTTAAGATGTCTCAGGATCAATCATGAGCTGCAGAATATAAACATCATCATCCCACAAGGAACTGGCCAAGTAAAATGCATTGTAAAATTTCCTTTTTGAACTAATGAATACTAACTATTGACTTAACAATCCATGAACACATTCATACATGAAAAGGCACAAGAATTGTGTTTAACCATATTTTAATGTTTCGATGATCATACCTCCCTTAACATCGAAATGACTCCATCGAAGTTTGTACCCTTTGCTAGAGCACGTGTAGCAGCAGCCTGGTATACATAAAATTTAAGTAAGCACAACATATTCAACTATCAGATAGATGAAGATTGAACTGGTACTAGTACCTGGATGACAGGCCCATCTGCCAAAGGATCAGAATAGGGTATACCCAGTTCAATCAAGTCTGACCCAGAAGAATCAAGAATTTTCAATGCTTTTGATGTTGTGGATAGATCAGGATCTCCAGCAGTAATAAAGGGTATCAATGCAACCTAAAGCCATGAAGATCAGTTAGCCATCATCTGACAAATAGAAAAATATATTACAATATTTAAATAGCATACAAATCCGAACTATAAAACACAAATCGTAAAATATTATTAAAGACAAATGAAGAGGGTAGAGATGTCTTGTATGATAGTTTTATGAATAATAGAACTAGCTGTAACAAATAATAGTTCTATTAGCTGGTGATACATTTTTCTAATGCAGATAGAGCACTAGGAAGCTTAACAACTTATATTTGTTGATAACTGTTCTAGGCCACATATAAATATAGAACAGAACTATCATATGGATTGATCAATATATGCCGGGACATGAGTGAATAAACCATGCCACAAGGGTATAGGCACATGCAACACCAACCTGATGTGTAGGTCATGACATACGATAATGTATTTAAAGTCCTCCTTATCACTGAATAATTATTTGTATCTCATACGTTTTCTATGTAATATATTTAAATTTTGCTTTGCGTGCACATGTTTCCCCTCTTTACATAAGTGACTAGTGATTCCAGTGTCGAAATTAAATGAATAAATTTAAAGAATTATAAATTATATAGATTTATAAAAACGAAAAGAACAAATGAAGACAGATTGATCATCTACAAGATTTGAAAAAGATCAAAATTAAAAATACAAATTAAACTCAACTCCAAAATCATCTACATGGAGACTCAAACACAAGAAATAAGTGACGCCTCGATATTTAAGCTGAAAATTTGACCGAAGGAGATGTATTGTGCATAGTGTTATCAATATTTTTAAATTGGCAATTGGTTTTAAAGGGTTTGTTTAATAATCTGCTTAAAGGAGCATGATTTTCAGCATTTCACAATCTAGATAATAAACTTACAATAAGAGAGTACTCAAAATATAAACGGAGGCAACAGAAAAGAATGTTAATCAGGAAAAAGAAGAAATAAAAATAGGAAAATATGAGGAGGAAGCAGCATGTAAACATCAGATTGAATAATAACAAATACGAGGGCATTTCGATTCTTTCCAAAATCCTTTTTCTTTTACTCCAACACCAACTACTCTAGTTTCCAAATTGAAGGCCAAGTTTCCCCGAGATTCTCGTTTCTGCCGATCAAAAAAGTAAATATAATATATCTTGACCCTAATTCGACTTCCGCTGCAACACTCAGCGAAAGCAAAAAAGGAAAAGAAACAGGGATATTCGAACTCCGAGCATAATACACGTCTAAGTCGGTCAAGATTCAATCTCTAATTCACTAAACTGAGAAAAAACATATAAACGAACCAAACCTACCAAATGTGGCACTAGGAACATACGAGCGATCAGGAAACAGAGAGCCCGAGGCTACAGGACAAGAACCGGGTAACGAAATCATAATATTTCTTGACCCTAATTAGATTTGCGCCGCAACACCCAACAAAAACAAATCAAAGAAAGTTCGCCAAGATTCAATCTTTGCTTCACAAAACTGAGAAGCAGAATATAAACGAACGAAACCCGCCTAATGTGGCACGAGAAACACACGAGTGATCAAGAAAACAATGAGCGCGAGACCTCAGAACTAGAACCGGTACAAGAACGGGAGCGGAGTTCACGTCGGTTACCTTTCCTTGCTCCTTCAACCGGGACAGGGTCTCGGAGATGCCCGGGGCCGGCGCAACGCTGAGAGAAGCCATGGGCGAGAAGGATTTGCGCAAAGATATGGGTTTACAGGAGGGGCGAACGAGGGAGGCGCCGCGAGACACCCGCGCGGGGAGAAGGGAGAAGGAAATGTTGGGAGCTACAGCCATCACCGCCCGCTTCGGATGTGTGCGAGCCCGTGGCGACGGCGGCTTTTGAAGGCGAGGAGACAGAAAGGGCTCTCGATCGAGAACGGTGGAGTTAGAGGAAGGCCCGACCAGCTGTGCCTTTAAAGACAGGATTCACGTTTCATGGCTCACACCGCATGTGGGGCCTTCCTCGTGGGTGAACTAAGCAGCTTTTGCGTGCATGGGGAAAGCTAAATCCTGCATTGGGCCAAGCGGCCAAAGCTGGCGCAGTTGGGGCATGGGAGGAGCGGGCCTGCTTTAAGATTCGTGGTGTGCGTAGAGATGGTAGGGGGAATGTTTATGCCTATTTAGGATCGGTGTTAAAATTGGGGATTTAGTTAAGTGTCGGATTCGTAGAACTTTGGATCGACCAATTTGGAAGCTTTGATTGGATTATATTGTTTTCTCTTCTTTTTTTTTATTATGAGTACATTAAAATATGATTTAAGTTAGTTTAACACAATATTATCAGAAATCTGATGTCATAGCAAAGTAGGATGCAGTGATAATGCCATATAAACATGAGATTTATATGTCTGGTCATAAAGAATAATTAACCCAAAAATATTTCTTTTAGTGTTTGTTCATTATCAAACGTGGGGGAGGAATTGTATGGATTCTAATAAATTTAATATTTATTTAAAAATAATAGCACATTTTTTATATTAATAAGTAAATTATATATACATATATATAATCTTACAAAAAAATCATATGGATTAGATATATAATAAATAAACAATATAATTATATATATTATTTTTAAAAAAAAAATAAAATAAAATTTGAACTTATAAAATATATATGTCCTGTTGATTTCTCGCTAAATCATGTTGACGATATTATGATTTTAGATGATATCAAATGGTATTTTAAAATTTTAATATTAACATCTCAAATGTTAATATTAGAAGCAATATTAATATTTGAGCATTTACAAAATAGCAATCAATCAATGCAATCTTAAAATATTTATTAAGCGTCAATTTATAAAATATACATTGAACTCTTAATGCATATTTTAAATATTTATAAAATATCCAAAAGAGGAGGAAGTCTTTTAAGATTGATGAGGTTCATACATTAATTATATATATATATATATATATATATATATATATATATATATATATATATATATATATATATATATATATATATAT